ATGGTTTGAAACTGATTTGATGGTGCTTGTACCATACACACAGCTTGATATGATTGAACTGTGGAATGATAGGATGTCTGGATTTGCTCCTAATGGTTTGAAGGAAATTGAAAAGTGTACCTTGTCGGCTTTTCTACGCGCTTCCCGCTTCTCTCACAATCCCTCCTAAGCAGCTCCATGTTGTTAGCTGCCATAGAGGCGGCCTCCAACATGGGGTGACCCTATTGAAAACAGAATAGAATGCTACTCCCTGATCCTCCTCCATCCTGAGCTCAGCTATGGATTGGACTGTTGGGCTGTTTCTGAAGCAGATCTCCATCGAGACCTGGAAGCTCTGCTGAAATTCTGTTCAGCATCATAACAACATGCAAGTCGCCACTGACAGATGACTGGTGATTTCCCATGAGGTGCATGGACTGGGATTGAATCAGGGCACATCTGAACTGCCAGTGAGCCACCAATTCCAATTTTATAGACACTATGATACATATAGTCTCTCCTGTGAACCAGCCACTAGGGTGTTCACCCTCATTTTCTCCTTCCTTCCAAATACTCCCCCATAATCACCTGAGGTGTCATCATTATTATCAGTTCCACTTCACGGATGAAGAGAGGATCAGAGAGGGGCATTGGCTCAAAGTTGCATTCCTCCGCAAGGCTTTGAACTTGCGAGGTGGGGCTCACCCGTGGAAGAGAAGGTAGGAAGTGAGCATTTGGGGAATAAATTGGGTGATGTTGGCCTGGGCAAGTGAGTCTCTTCAAATCCTTCAACTGCTGATATTACTACTTGTTGAAGAAGGCTGGCCAGGCCTTTCCTGGCTAGGCTGGGTAGAGGCCCTACACATGCACACTTCTCCCCTAACCCAATTCCACAGGCCTGAGCTCCCAGGGGCCATTTGTTTTTCCTGCCCGGACAGAGGATTAAACAAAAATCCCATTTATTCTGGCAGAGTACTGCTCTGTCCGCCATGAGCTGTTTGCCCCATAAACCACGCTGGCCGTGGCCCCTTCCAGAAACCAGGGCTCAGGGGAGCTGAAACAAAACCCTGGTGGCAGGGAGACCAAAGAGCAGTCTCAAAGTGCATAATCTTGTACGAGTGAGGGAAGCAGGCTACAAATCACATTCTATAATCTTCCTTTTTATTGGAAGCTTCCCTTCCCCCCCTCTCTAAAGGCTTCTCCGATTTAATTCTTAACAAATCATCATCTGCAGCCCTTTCAAGTCATGACCAATGATCCAAAATCACGATGCCTTTTGCACATTTCTAGAAAGGGCTTTCAGCCTTGACTTCCCCCTTTCCGAGACAAGAGGTGACTTTTGTCCTCTTTCGGAGATTTCAGCTGCTAGCATATGGCAGATGCGCAGTACTCGTTCGTTGAGTGAATGCACGTTGCGCCTGACTTTTAATCAGCAGGGAGCAGACAAGGTGGGTGCAGTCATTTCCTGGAGTGGCAGTACCTGAGATAGAGCTTCTCATAACCCAAGGCTGGGGCTCTGAGATCAGGAGGACTGCTGTGGGGGTAGCTTCTGAGGCACTGAGGAAGAATGGGTTCCATGCCACGCCTCCCTCTTTCCGCTTCTGTTAGCTCCATGTGCTCCTTGGCATATTGCTGCAGCGCCCCACAGGGGTGTTCTTACCGCTGTCTTTCTGCATCTGTATTTGCGCTTTTTTTTCTAAGTCATGCACAATTGGGACCCATCCTATTCCAGCATAACCTCATGCTCACCTAACTAATAACATCTTAGCAGACCCAATTTCCAAACAAGGTTGTATTCAGAGATGTGGGGGATGAGGGCTTTATCAAGTCCTTTGGGGGGCGGATACAATTCAAGCCATAATACTGGGGATTTGGAGAGATGGAACAACGCTGTCTAGGTTGTTCATATTCCCAGCTAGAATGCGTGATGACACTGTATGTAAATATACAGTGGCCAACAGAGTCCCGGACTGGGAGCGAATTCCAGGTGAAGAGCCCATAGGAGCAGAGCCTCAG